CCTACACGCAATGATATGCCAGGGAGAAGCCTAGGCCGAAACCTTTCTCCTCGACACTGAGATTCCTATATGGAAGCATTTCGCTGTATGGACCAGCAGTGAATCACGTGAGCCCTCACTTCCCATCAGAGCTGATGAAGTCCAGAAAGAGGCTTGGATCCAGGTTGAAGTTTCCACAAGCGCAAGGTCTTACACAGCAGAAGGCAGTGTGGTCGTTGTCCCCCCCCTGCCCTCACTGCCTCAACAGCCCCAAATGGCCCCTGAAAACTACACGCCATGGATGGAAGTCCTTTCACCCACAGGAACATCAGTCTGGATCCAACCCACAGATTTCATGTATTGTCTGCTGTTTGAAGCAGCTGGACTCCAATCTTGCCCCCCCCCCCCCGCTGACGGATGAAACGGACTGATAAGGGTTTAAAGATAACCTCCTTATATCCACTTACATGGCATTGGCTGTAACCAGGAGATCTGCATTATCAAAGAGGGTAACCCCCGGCACTTCTACGATGAGAACATAGGTGAATTCGATGATCAACATCAGAATGAGTTTCCCAATGCAGCTGATCTGAAGGAACACAGAGCAGGCTAGGAGGCTCAGTAAGACACTGTAGGTAAAATACTAAGTTGAGGAGATGGCGGGAGGTGAGAGAGAATGGGGGGGAAGGAGAGAAAAGAGGGGGGGAGATCAGTAAGGGTCAGCAAATGCCAACTGAGCAGAGATACAAAACATTTTACAAAGTGAGAACCCCAGTTACAAATGAATACTCATCAACTTCACTGGGCCTTAGAGTGCGGCCAACGCGTCAGAGCATACAACAAGCCTGCACAGATTGTGACTCTACGTGCCAAAGGCCGCACAGACATGTATTGAGTCTAACTGGGGGCTTGATAAATCTTTTTGGTTTTGATGCCCGGCAGGGTCTGCAAAAATGGGGGATGATGCTGTACAGCTTAAGCAGGCTACCATCCACAGGCTCCTCTAGAGAAAATGGCTGCTTTGGAAGTAGGGTTGCCAAGTGAGTTTTACTCACTGGCGGGGGAGCCTCGCCGCGCTTCGGGAGCCGTCCCTCGTCGTGCGCGCGTGCACACTGCCAGCACGTCACCGGAAGTGATGCGCGACGTCGATCACGTTGAGGGCGTGGCCCCAATCGTCGGAGGGAAAACCATAGAGTTTTCCCTCCGACGATCGGGGCCACGCCCCCAACGTGATCGACGTGGTTGCGTCACCTCTGGTGATGCAGCCACGCTGCGCTTCGGGGGGGGGCGGAGTTCCCCCTGGGGCCCGATTCCCTGGCGTTGGAAATTGGGCCTCCAAAGCGGGGGTTTACCCGCCCCCCACCCCCACTTGGCAGCCCTATTTGAAAGGTGCACCACATGGCATGGAAGTCCTTCCCCTCCCCCAAACCTGTCCCCTTCAAGCTCCACCAGCCCCCAAAATCTCCAGGAATCTGGCAACCCGGAATTGGCAACCCTAGCTCCATTCCCACCAGCAACTGAGTACACAAGACTAACCAATGACTGTATCTGCTGCGACTTCCAAGAACAATGGAGGCACACAATGTCACGTTAAGAAACACTCAAAAACGGTATAGGGAAACAGCACGTTTATGCCTCAGAGAAACCATGGGCTCTCCCTACGTGACTGTCATGATTTTGACTACTAAATAACTTCTCTTAAAAAAAAAAAACAACTGCTGCCCTTCCTACAATACATTTGGAGACATCTCACATATACGCAGGGAAGTAAAACTGGTTATGGGAAAGCCGGCCATCCCTTTTGTGCCTTCATTTTAAAAATGAATATAGACTGAGGTATGAAATGATTTGAACCAGGGGTCATTTCCTGCAGGAGTGCACAGGAGCGGAGCTCCGGCAGTAAAGAGCCCAGGGGGCGGGCACATGCAACAAGCCCCACCCCCTGCTCCCAGCAGCCCTCAGTCAGAGCAAGAAGCAGCCAGGTAAGTTGCAGAGCCCCCCCCCCGCCTCCCCCCCCAGTCCAAAACAGTCCAGCAGCACCTTTAAGACCAAGTTTTATTCAGGTACAAGCTCTCCCTCCTCTACCAGGACAGATCTGTACACCCCCCCCCAATAGCTAGCAATCCAAAACAGTCCAGTGGAGCCTGAGCAGTGGGTGTTGCCTTCTGACACACTTCTGGTAATGTCAGGGTGTGTGACATATGCAAATAAGTTATGCTAATGAATTATGCTAATGAGCTCCTGCACCTCTTTTTCTACGAAATGACCCGATTCAAACTGATGTTGCACACCTCAAAATCTCTTTCTAAAGTTACCCATATTTTTTATTGCTGTCCAGACCTTTAATAATAAAGAACAACCACCAAAAAAATCAAAATAAATTCCAATACAACCTTAAAAAAAAAAAACTGTTGCCCTTCCTTGAATAATTTTGGAGACATCTCATATATACACAGGAAAGTAACACTGGTTATGAGAAAGCTAGCCATCCCTTTTAAAAGTCCACCTACAAGGTTGTGAGATGTGTGCTTGTGTGTAGACATGGCACATCTATATATTCACAGCAGTTGATTATTTTATCTGTATTTCTTGAAAAAAGAAGAAGAAGAAGAGATTGGATTTATACCCAACCCTTCACTTGGAGTCTCAGAGCGGCTTACAAACTCCTTTCCCTTCCCCTCCCCACAACAGACACCCTGTGAGGTGGGTGGGGCTGAGAGAACTCTGACAGAGACTGCTCTTTTCCAAGGACAGCTGTGCCAGAGCTTGTGACTGACCCAAGGTCACATCAGCAGCTCCAAGTGGAGGAGTGGGGAATCAAACCCGGTTCTCCCAGATAAGAGTCCGCACACTTAACCACTGCACCAAACTGGCACTTAGTGATTGTTATCACCTTGAACTTTGTGTGGGACTGCTAACTGCTTGAAGTGAGTTGGTGGCCTGAAGTGGTTGAATGAGGGAAGGAGAACACATTTCTCTACAGGTATGCCATTAAATGTCACAAAACTGCTGGTTTGACTTCAGTATTCCTTACTTATATATTTATGGAATTTGTCACCTCTCCTGCTAGTTTTTACTTTTGCTTCTCCCTTGTTCAAATCTAATCCATGAGTCTATATTTTTGTTCCATTTTCTGTTTCTTCATGCTGAACCTTCCCCATAAAAAGTACACATTTTCCGATGTATACAGTCTACCAGCAGTCTAAAGTGCACTCTACAGTCCAGAATTCTCACACCTCATTCTGTAGAATATGTCAAATTAGACTTATCCAAGCTAAGTGGCAGAGACCCCTGTAAACAGAAGGTCCTAGGTTTAATTCTGGGCATTTGCAGTTAGAAGTAGCTCAGGTAGCAGCGCTCGAAAAGTCCTCTCCCTGGAAGACAGCTGCTGTGAATCTGCATGAGCAACAGAGGGGTAGGTAGGCAGCTGTGACCCCCACATTCTTTTGCACACTAGGCAAGGCTACCTTGTGGCACCGCCCCCCCAATACCGGCCCTGTGTGCAATACTGCAAAAGAAATCACGGGCTAGGCTGCGCAGCGAGGGGCGGCCGCTGTCTGCTGAGATCTGCCGCAGCCTAATGACAGAGCGGGCGGCTCCCGCTCCTGGCCAATCCCAGCTGACTCATTCACCCGCCCGGGCTCCATGGCGGCAGAAGACCAATTTCCGGTTCTCTCAACCCGCGCATGTGTGTTCTGTCGTCGGGCGGGGGGGGCGCCCTCTGAGGAAAGAAGCGGGTCTGACAGAGAGCAGCCTCACAGCACCCGCCTGCCTCCTCCACCGGCAGGAACACAGCCTTTGCCATGCCCCCCCTTTCCCTCCGTCTCGCCCTGCCCCTCGTGCAGGAGAGGCACGCGGGAGACATTGTGAGGTGAGTCTCCTTCGACAGTTAAGGAAGCGCGCTCACGGGTTTCATTGGGTCGGGAGGGGAGCACGCTGGTGCGAGGGCCCGCACATTTGCTGACGTTGGTCTGTGTGTTCTTCCCTCGTGTAAGGTACATGTCAGCGTTTCACAGTGAAGGAGACTCAGGGCACGAGGCGAGGGAAGGGAGGGGAAGGCGGGGCAGCAGACAGGCCAGAGTGGCGCCTTCATCGAGCCGGTGCCCTAGGCGACGGTCTAAGATTTGTCAATGACGGGCCAGGCCCTGAGGCTAATTGTTTAATTCATGAAAGGCAGCTTCACAAGATAATAAGTTGCAACCTTTTTTCACTAAACAGAGTACTCACAGACACACATGCAAACACAGCTTCACAGGAATACCTCTGGAAAGTTGCAGCTAGGCTTGGAGCTATCACAGAACCCTTGCGTTGTCCCCAGGCTGTAATTGGAGGCAGAATAGCCGATATGGCACATATTCACCTGATGAGGGGTGATGTTGTACTCTGCAGCCACACAGTTAAAGAGGTCCACAGTGCTGCATGTGAACTGACAGAAAGCAAGAGACGAACATGAAATAAAGGCAAGGAAAAGGGGAAAGCAAACTTTCACAAGAGCCATCATCGAGCACTTCAGAGAGGAGGTGTACTAAAAAGTCCTCCTTCATACCAGGAAACTTTCCCAGCCAGAACACTCTTGGGCCTAATTATGCAGAACACAAATTCAAATAAATAGAGGTCACAGTAGAGACTGATCAGTGAGAATGCACTTCGATTTGCTTCAGAAGACACCAACTGCCTCTTCTCTCCACCAAAGTGCCATCTAGTTTAGTTTGTTTCATTCATGCGCCATCAGATTGTCACTGGGACTTTGTAGAAGTGCCATATTCAGGGCAGCTTTCCTGACATGTCTAAGTGCACCGATCGGGATAGGCTCAGTCTTCTAGCCTGCAGAATTCTGTTGTACAAAAAGGAACTGGAGGTATTTGATGCTGAAGACATTTCATAGATACAAAATTGGTCTATTTTCTTAGCGATCATAAATCATTCATGTAGGCTGGAGAGACAGAAAATAAAAACTGTGACTTGAAACTAACCTAGTATGAGCTAAGCTGTCTTTAATTTTTTTTATTGTAAACGCAAAGTACTTCAGAATGATAAATACAAAGAATCACGATGTTATTCCCCATGTCCTACAAAATAATTCTTATAGTCTCTACCAAGGGTTCTTTCACAATACATAACATTTTTCGTAGTAAATTGGGGGGGGGGGACTCTAAATGGTTGAATATTTTCCTGAAACCTTGTATTCCAATAATCTATCAATAAAAGCCATTTTATACAAGCATGTCACCTGATTAATTTTTTACTGATCTTTTAAAACATGTCAATATAGAAACAGTTGACCAAACTCTCTTAAACCTCTCTATCAGAGAAGGCGTATCTGACTTTTGCTTAAAGAAAGGGATACACCTTTTTTAGCAGTGGATTAAAAAATTCACCCCATTCTCAATCAGAGAATCGTTACCACCTTGAGATTAACAAACTGCTTTATTTTGCATTATACTCCACAATTCGGAACACTGATATATCACAGTGCAACCAAGTCAATAAAGGAACAGTAGAACATACCATGTTGACAAAGGCTGACAGGAAAACTAGGATAATGGTGATGACTCCAACTATGGTGTTATTGGTCCTATACTGAACAATATTCCTTGAGAGAGTCTGGAGTGGAGCTGGGAAAAGCTGGCAATAAAAAGGAAAAAAAGATACTTAAAAGCATGATCATGTACAACTGCCTCACAAAATGAAGAACGAAAGTTCAAATGCTGATCTACCACTGAAAAACGAGAAACATTTGGTGGTGAGGGATCTCTGTGTTATCTGTACTTATAAACTAGGTCTCCCATTTACTCACCCAAGGTGGGGAATTACTAGCTCACAGCCCCAATTTCCTGTCCCTGAGAAACTGAGGAGCAGGGGGGGAAAGGCCTCCAGATAGTGGCACTGTAGGAATGTTCCTAGTCTCTATGGTAAAGACAATAGCGAGTAGGATTGGCAGCCTAGAACATCACCTGGAAGTAACATAACATCCTGCCCAAACTCTACCCTCTCAAGTTACACGTCCTCAAGATCTCTGAAGCATTTGCCAAGACAATGTTAGGAACCCTGAAGTTCAAAATGCCCACATTTTGAACTGTGGAGAACTAATTGTGTCTAGGGATGGGCACAAACCAGGAAAATGAGGTTCAGTCCACAGTTTGTGGTGTCCCGGGTTCACAAACCAGGAACTATCACAAACATTTTGACGCTAAACAGGTTTGTGAGGTTTGTGATGTGGTAGAATCCCCCACCCCAGTGTTTCAGAGACACCAAACTCACAGGGGATCTCCGGCTGACTCCCCTCTACCCGCCCTCCAAGTTTGGTGAGGATTGATTTTACGGGGTCCAAGTTACAGCCCCCCAAAGAAGGTGCCCCCAGAAAAGTGCTTTCTGGGTAAATGACAGGCAGAGGTTCAGAAGGTTCAGGATGGTGTAGAATTGACCCTGTGCAAGTCAGAGGCATCAAATTCACAGGGGATCTTCCCCTGATGATCCTCTACATGCCCTCCGAGCTAAGCCCCTCTGCTCGGTGTGACCAGAGAGACAGGGTGACTCAGAGCCCTGAGTCCACCTAACACCCAAACCCCGGGATGGGAGAGGAGCTCACAATCAGGAGTGAATGTGCTCTGCTTTCAACAAGTTCCCTGCCTCTCTGTCTAACTGCCAACAGCCAACATAGGAGAGGGTGTAGAGATGAACTGAGGGTATATATAGCATTCTGATTCCATAGAGCAGAATGGGAACTCTGTTGATGGCAGCCATCACTGCCTGCTAGGCTTTGTAGAGCCCCTATTGGTATTTCCAAGGCTGGGAAAGCCCCCCTCGCTATGAGGGGCCAATTGGCTTAGGACCATGGTTTAGGGGGAGGAGGGGCTCCTGCCTGCCTCCTGTGGCATTTTCCTGACCTGAAATGGCTCAGGGGGAGTTATATGCTCAATTTCAGAGCTGCGCATGCATGAAATGCTGCATGTGCAACTCGAAAATATGGTAAAGGCTGCTTTGTAAGGAGCTGCAGTGGCTCAAGTGGTTAAGACGCTGAACTGCAGGCTGTGGAAGGTCGGTAGTTCAGCAGTTCGAGACCCGAGTGTGCTGCATGACGGAGTGAGCTCCCATCTCTCATTCCAGCTCCTGCCAACCTAGCAGTTCGAAAGCAAGAAATTGCAGGTAGATAAATAGGTACCGCTTCGGTGGGAAGGTAACAGCGTTCTGTGCACCTCGGTGTTTAGTCATGCTGGCCACATGACCATGGAAACGTCTTCAGACAGCGCTGGCTCTTTGGCTTGGAAACGGAGGTGAGCACCGCAACCCTAGAGTCGGATTCGACTGGCTTTCAAGCAAGGGAACCTTTACCTTCACCTTTAAGGCTGCTTTGGCTTATGAAAATGCCACAGAGAGAAGGCAGCAGTCCATCTCCGCACTCCACAATTCCAGGCTGAGTTAGAATCTGCGGACCTTTAAGACGCTGTTTCCCACAGTTACTGAGGAGAAAGTGAATGTGTAGTTTGGTCCTTAGAGTACATCAAACCAGTTTCTAAAACCATGGTTTGAAGTTTATTGTTATTGTTTTATTAACCACAGTTGTGGTGACAAATTCTGACATCATGGCTCAATCCAAACTTGTTCCCTGGTGCTGCGTTTGCTGCAACGCAAACTGTGGAGCCAGCCCAATCACTGTAGATATAGCAGGGAGAGGAGACCATTTGTTGAGGCAAACTAGGAGTTGATGATTGCCCGAGGCTGCCGAGCCAAATCCTCATTTCACACAATAACCATAAATCAAATAAACCGTGTCCGAGAGAGTATTTGACAGACCAGTTGATTTGAATCCCCGGAAACATTTGTCTCTGATGTTCAAGTCCTGGCCTTTTCTCTTTTCTCCAGTTGCTTCCCCTTCCCCTTCCCCCACCATCCTTTTAAAAAGTGAATTCCCATCTATTTTATAAATGTTATCGATCCAAAGAGAGATGAAATCGGTAGCTCTCAAATATACAAAATTGTATAGCTTCCCTACTGAGCATGCATTTCGTCTCCTCAATTCTGCCCCTGAAGAGGAAGCTGAGGCATACAAAGACAGCACAACTTCAAAAGCCATAATTATTACTGCACCAACCAGCCTTCTAACAGACCTTTTTAAAAGGACAGTGAGAAATGGCTTGTATGCTGCTATTTAGTGATGACTAATCACTTGCCTCCCCCCCCCCCCCCCCCGCCTTTTTGCTCTTCTTTCTTCTCGCACAGTTTGAGGGATCACATTTCGCCAGTGCCCTGCTTCCTACACAAGCATAATTATGAAACTGTTTGATGACAGCAGCACTGATTAGCTGCTGCCTGTTATAAAAAGGAGAACGAAACAACCCTGCAGCAATGCTGAATGTCTTCAAGCCTGATGCCTTTTTACCTGCATTCAGCACTAACAGATCTTTGTCTTCTAGCACGGGAAGGGGAGAATGGGAAGGGGGTGTATTGGGCGAGGTGGGGGGGGGAGGTAGGATAGGATTCTGTGGTACAAAAAAAATATGAGATTTTAAAAATACCGCCCCTGCTTTTACAGGTGGGCAAATGAGCATGCCGGTACAACACCCCTTGGTGCTACATAGAAATCATACCAAATATCACCCTATTCTTCACTAGCAAGCAGAAAGTTTACCAGTGCAGTCCTAAGCAGAGTTATTCTCTTCTAAGCCCATTGGCCTCAGCAGACCGAAAAATGTAACTCTGCTTAGGACTGCACTGTAAATGACTTCTGGTTTCGGCGACTTCCATGGCGGGCGCGCTCCTTCAGTGCTCCGAAAGGAGCGGCCCGTGACGCGGCGGATGGGAGGGGGCCGGTTGATCCGGAGCCCCCCTGGAGTCCTTGTAGGGGACTCCCAGCCTGGGGCACTGGAGGTCGCCTCTCCTGAGGCTGCGGCCAAGGAATTGAGGCACCTCAGAGCTCCGATAGGTCCCGTTGCTGCGGCGCCATTATGGCACCAAGAGGCGTACACCGGGTGAGCGAACAAGTGATCCAACGAAAATAAAGCTCTCCCTACCTCTGCACCAGGCGTGGAACGAAGCGTGAGTGCAAATTTCTTTCTGACTGGCTATCTGGCAAAGCGTATACCCAAAGCCCTGAACGGCGTTGATGGAGGGGGGAGGGAGCTAGCTCACACCTCCCCCCCATACTTTTTTAAGCGAACTTGTTTAGCAAGAGGGGCTAGGAGAAACGGCGATGGTTGATTGAATCAGGCAAAACACAAATCTAATTAAAGCAAACTTTTGAAGCAACTTTTGCTGACTTTTGAAAACATTCCTTGAAATATAAACAATGACTGGGTGGGCAGAAAAGATGGCGACGAGACTGAGACACTCTCCTGGAACTACAAGATCAACACATCTGGCTACTAAACCGGATGTAAACATTGACTTCTCTAACATGTTGGCTACTGCATTGCACCCTCTGCTGGAGCAGATGACTAATACCAACAAGAAGTTGGATGAGATCCAAAAACAGCTTTAAAAGACGAACTTAAAAATAGAGGAGACTGCAAAATCAGTGAAAAAGGTTGAAGCCAAAGCAAAAGAGACTAATCAAAGACTGGAGGTGATGGAAAAACAAAGATCCTCTGATAAAGATCAACTTTTAAGACTACAAATGGAAAAATCAGCGTATGTTCTGAGATTTCAAGGTGTTCCTGAACAGCAAGGTGAGAATCTGAAAGAAATACTAAGTGAAGCGTTGACCCCAGTGACAGGTTTAATGGTGGACACATTACAAAGCGATCTGGATTTGGTCTATCGGACATATCCAGAATGCCTGGGAAGATTGTGGCGAGATTCTCTAAAAGATCAACAAGAGACGTGGTGCTCAAGGCCACAAATGGAACTACCTTAAAAATCAAAGACAAAGAAATCAGAGTCTTAAAAGACATTCCATTTGAAATAAGAAAGAAGAGGGTTCAATACAAAAATTTAACTGGCTTCTTGCAGAAAAATTCCATACCCTACAGATGGATAATACCCGAAGGACTGGACTTCAACTACAAAGATAAAAAAGAAAAGATAGACTCTGTTTTAAAAGCGAAGATG